CAGCCACAAATAGGTTCAACATCTGCAAAGGGAGGGAGGAAATGAGATCAGGGCAGGGAGGAGGAAAGTTATCGACTTTGGTTGTGGTTGTTGATAAGCGAGTTGCCAACTTTTTTTAGACCAACGGAGGAGGGCACAGACCGGAATAACGAGGGTAACTTTTTCAGGCTCAAAGGAAAGCTACACCCGAAAGAGACGGAGTTCTTAAATGCATCGTAGCATCGCCACGTTCGACGGAGAGAGAGAAACGTCTCACCAGAAAGGAGCAGAGGAAGATGAAGGAGACAAAGTAGAAGTAAGCGAAGTCACTGCCACATTCGTTTCTGCTGAGGTTCGAGTGCTCGTCACAGGGCTGGTGGCTGAGGCACGCAAGCATGATTTCATGCCAGGCTTCTCCAGTAGCGCTCCTGAAACCAAAAAAAAAACAAAAAAAAAAAAAACCCAAGAAAAAGGCCCATGAATGTAAGTGGGTAACTATGGGGTCTTAAATCAATAGTTCTTCTGATTGCTTAAAATGACGGCGTGGGTGATAAAGAAGAAGAAGGAGTATTTCTCCCAAATGGGATCCGGGAAGAACTCACCGAAAAAGCAACATTAGTGCCTGCAGAAAAGTTTGGAAGTTATTGTGACGATTAATGGCGCTGTCGTCATCCAGAGCAATGTTTCCAAAGACCTGGGGGAAAGTGAGAGAAGGAGAAGAGAGAGAGAGAGAGAAGGAAGAAACAACTAAGAGAACATGAGCTTGCCTCCAGAAATCGTGGGCGCTCCATCACTGGAGATTTTTAAGAAGAGGCTAGACAGTCACTTGAGTAGGGGGCTGGACTAGAAAACCTCCAAGGTCCCTTCCAATTCTATTCTGTTCTGTTCTGTTCTATTCTACTTTACTCTATTCTCTATCCTTATTCTATTCTGTTCTGTTCTGTTCTGTTCTGTTCTGTCCTGTCCCGTCCCATCCCATCCCATCCCATCCCATCCCATCCCATCCTATCCTGTTTCCTATATTCTATTCTATTCTATTCTATTCTATTCTATTCTATTCTATTCTATTCTACGCTACGCTACGCTACGCTACGCTACGCTACGCTACGCTACTCTACTCTATTCTCTATCCTTATCCCATCCCATCCCATCCCATCCTATTCTATTCTATTCTCTATCCTTATCCCATCCCATTCTATTCTATTCTATTCTATTCTATTCTATTCTATTCTATTCTATTCTATTCTATTCTATTCTATTCTACTCTATTCTCTATCCTTATCCCATCCCATCCCATTCTATTCTATTTTACTCTATTCTATTCTCCATCCCATCCCATCCCATCCCATCCCATCCCATCCCATCCCATCCCATCCCATCCCATCCCATTCTATTCTATTCTATTCTATTCTATTCTATTCTATTCTATTCTATTCTATTCTATTCTACATTGAAAAGAGTTCTACCCATTGGTGGGAGGCCCAGCGTGACGAACAGGTGCCATTGGAGATGGTGGTTTTCATCACCCTCAACTACCTTCCCCATCTCTGTGACAACACACTCTAAACCCCGCTTAGTCGATCTGGTTCCCGCCGCCCATTTTACCTGCATGCCAATGATGGCATAGATGAAGAACAGCATGGCAATGAGGAGGCACACATAGGGCAAGGCCTGGAGGAAAGAAAAGAAGTCGGGAGCTTGCACTCACCCAGCAGAGAGCACAGCACATCACAACATCTGCACAACTGCACATGTCAGAGAGCAGGTAGTCCTCGGGTTCAGACCACGAGGGAGTCCCAAATTTCTGTTGCTATGTGAGACGTTTTTTAATTGAACATTGCCCCGTTTTACAGCCTTTAAGTGAATTCCTGCCATTGTTAAGTTAATAACACAGTTGTGGCTTCCCCATTGACTACGCTTGTCAGAAGGTCACAAAAGCGGATAGCGTGATCCCGGGACACTGCAACCGTCATAAAAGTGAGTCCGTTGCCCCAAGCGTCCGAATTTTGATCACGTGACCCCGGAACACTGCAACCGTCACAAATGTGAATCAAACGCCGAGTGTCCAAATTTTGATCACGTGACCCCAGGGATGCTAAAATGGTCATAAGGGTGAAAAATGGTCCTTTTTTTCAGTGCCCTCCCAAGTCGCTTTACTCAATGACGTGGTCACTTCAGACGGTCACTAAACAAGCTGTTGCAAGTTTATGCGTTTGTGATTTTTTTCATTGCAGCTTTAAACAAAAAACAAAAAACAGGTCTTGTTTGTTTTGTTTCGATCCCGTTAAGTGATATATATATATATATATCACTTAAGTGATATATATATATCAAGTGATATATATATATATCACTTGTGATATATATATCACTTAAGTGATATATATATCACAACCTCAGAAAACAAACCTCAGAAAACATATATAACATACTAACAACTGTTTGATAAACTTAGCTTTCGTCGGCTAACTGCCAACGTCATCAGAGTGAAATGCATATATATAAATATATATATATATTTTAAAAAAATAAAAACCTAGAAGTAAATCAAAACAGACCCGGTGGGTAGTTCTTCCACCCTCAAAAAACCCTCACCTTAAAAGACTGGACAAAAGTCCAGAGCAGAATCCGTATGGTGTAGCCCTGACGGAGAAGTTTGATAAGCCGCGCGGCCCGGAAGAGGCGGAGGAAGCTCAGGTTGATGAAATTATCCTGCAAAGAAAAAAAAATAATTTTTTTTCCCCATCGTTCAGAGCCGGGCGGGATTCGAAACCGCAGCTCGCAAAAAAACAGGAAAGGGAAAAAAATTACCGGCTTTGGGTTCTAAAGCAGCAAGTCGGCCGGCAGACAAAAAACAACCTTGCAAAAAAAAAATCCCGCGAGGAATTTATTTTCTTATCATAACAACATGCAAATAAGTTTCCCTTTCTGATCAGCCGCACGAAGGTGAGGAATTAAGGAAGGGAGGGGGGGTTTTTTTGGCAACGGTTAAGGGTTTATTATTATTGTTGTTATTCCATTATCAAGCAGCCAACACAAACGCGATGAGGTGAGGAAACTGAGTCACAA